GTTGGTTGGCACCAATATCTAGCATTCTTAATTCAGTACAATTCATGACCCCACCTTTAAGCTTTCCTTTGAAGTTATTGTTCTTGAGATCCAAAAGCAGCAAAGATGTGAAATTTGACCCTATGGGAAGACACGGGCCACTCAAGTGGTTGTTTGACAACTTTAAAAACCTCAATTCATTGTTACCTTGACCGAATTCTTGGGGCAAGTAACCAGATAAATTATTATTTGACATGTCAAGATCATTCAGTTGTCTCATTTCACCTATTGAAGATGGAAAGCAACCTTGCAATGAAGTTGAAGACATGTTAAGAGAAATCAAGTTGGGAAAAATGAAGCCAATATGAGAAGGTATTTCATCTCTAATGGGGTTAGAGGAAATATCAAAAGACTCCATTTGAAGCAATTTTGAGGTAGAATTGAATTCAAAGGGACCAGTGAACAAGTTGTGCGTCAGATTGAAATCATAGAGTCCTGTGTTGTTTGTCAAAAGCCAGGACGGGAAGGTCCCTGAAATGTTCAAGTAACCAAGTTCTAGAAACAGCAAGTTATATTGATGAAGAAGAAAGGTAGGCATTGCTTTATTGTTGGCTTCATTTAGAATGCAGTTGTTGATGTTGAAAGTCCTCAACTGGAAAGAAGGGATAAATGGGGGATTCTCAGTTTCAAGCTTGAGGTTGGCGTTAGAGCATGAAATGAAAAATGTGTCAAGGTTAGAGTGGTTGGCAAGCAAAGAGAGTGAAAATGAGCCACTGAAATTGTCGTCGGTAAGAGAAATTGCTCTTAGAGACCTCAAAGTATGAAGGAGTGAGGAAGGAAAAATTCCTTCAAAACGATTTCCACCAAGAGAAAGTGAACGGAAGGACGTCAAATTGCCAAGACATGCTAGGAGTTGCCCCTCAAATTCATTGTTGGAAAGACCCAATGATATAAGATTCTTCAGATTGCACAGGCCTCCTGCAACAATACCATTTTGTTCATTAAATTTATTTTGTCAGAACAATGCATTTAAATTAATATTGGGCCCAAGATAAAAAAGCCTGAACATTGAGCCCAAAAATATAAGAAAAAATAAATGAAATATAGAGAATGCATAAAGAAAAATAAGAGATATAAAGTCATTTCCTTTTATTAGTTTTAGCCTGTACATGTGTGTAAATACGGCTCGATTTTATTATTATTATTATTATTTTGTCAATTGTTATTTGTTTTGGCAGGGGGAGAGCGAGTTGCCGCATGCCAGTTAGGAGATGGATTTTGGAAATCGGTTTTGATTAAACAGGAGACTCAATTTGCACGAACAAAGAAAAATTGACTGTTTAATTAAAATAAAATTTTTTTATCAGCAAATTTGATGTTTATTTGGGAATACTCTCAATTAATGGATTATTTTCTTTTCATCGCAGATGCTATAAAATATGAGCCATATTACCTTGTTGTGGCAATGGTCCTCTGAGGTTGTTACGGGATAATATCAATTCGGTGAGGGAAGTAATAGACGTAATAGCTTCTGGAATACAGCCCTCTAAGTAATTAGCTTGAAGCCACAGGTGCTTCAGATTACGTGAATGAGAAAGGTCTGTCAAATGCCAAATGGAAATCAAATGATAAGTAACTATGATGTTAAAATTTGTTGATAATGAATCTGTTAAGTAAGAAAACGTCATCTTATCTCTTACTTTTGACATTGCATTCAATTCTCTCAATTAAATAAAGACACATAAATTCTTCAGTTGGGATGATTATATGACAAAGGTAAATAATTTGACTTCCCGACAAAATCAAGGGAGAAAAAAGAGAAACTTTTATATATTTAATGGAGAAAACTTTGTCTATATATTTCTTCTAGAATTTTTTTAAAAAAAAATCATGGACCGGTAATCTTTTTTTCTAAAATAGATGTACTTTTGATGCACATACATTTCAGTAACTACATATATATGTCACTCAAAATATAGTATAATATAGAAGACAAAGATTTAGCACCAAAATGTGGAAATTCTCTCAGCATATTCCCTCTTAAATCCAACGCTTCCAAGTTCACCAGCCTGAAATCACCAAGCAGTTCTGTTCCACAAGCCACATGTGATCAGTTACTATGAATATTAGTGGGTATAAAGAAATATTAAAAAAAATTCATATAATTAATATGGAGAACTAGAGAGAAGGACCAATGGGAAGATATATTTATGGCAGAGGATCATAAAAATCAAAATTATTTAAAAGGACCAAACATTCAAATATAAATTTAAAAATATCGTATTGTCTCTATCTAAACCTCCTATATTTTCTCGTACATTTTATTTTTAAACTAATACAAATTAATAAAATTTATTAAATTAAACTTGATTTCTTTCAATGTTTAAAAAATCAATTAAAAAATATGCAACACTAATTAAACTTGATTCAGTCAAGTGAAAATTAAAGTTTATTTTCTTTATAGAAAATAAAATTTTATTTTTAATAACCATCACAAATTTTAATTTAAAATAAAAGTTGCATAATTTTATTAAAATTTAGATTATTATATAACTTATTATATACATAATTTTAAAAAATTTAAAGAAAATTTGTATAATTTATTTTTTATTTTATAAGAAATTTATATTAGATTTAGAAACAAAAAAATCCATGTAATATTAAGAAATTTAAAGAATTCAGATAATCTTTTATGATTTTATGCAAAATATGCAAGCACGATTGCTTTTATTGGACAATACTTAATCCTAATCCAAAAAATATTGTCAATACAAAATTTCAATAAATCCTACAATAAATCACAATAAAAACAGATGATAATAAGGTTTTTATTTTTTTCTTTTCGGAATATGATGCTCTTTTAATATTTTAATATACTAATTACTAAAATATTAGGTAGAAATTTTAACATATTTAAAATTATTTTATTTTACAAAAAAATTATTTTTTAGTGATATATCCCCTTGTTGTAATTCGTTTAAGTAAAATACAATTTCTTTTATATTTTTTAATTTTTTTATATCTTATATTTTATTTATTAATATATCATATAGTTAGGTGGTTTTTGTTAAATAATTTTGAGGAGGGGCCCTATAAAATTATAATAATTACCTGAATTCTTTAAATTTCTTATCATTACATGAATTTGTTATTTTAAATCAGATATAAATTTTTTATAAAATAAAAATTCAATTATAATTTTTTTTATTTTTTAAAATTGTGTATATAATAAATTATATAATAAAATAAGTTTCAATAAAATGATATAAATTTTATTTTCAACTAAAATGGTCTGGGAAATCAAATTTTAGTTTTTATAAGGAAAATAAAAATTTAATTTTCACTAGAAATGTTTGCATATTTTTTTTAATTAATTTTTGTGCAAGTTGTAAACTTTAAGAGAAATCAGGTTTAATTTAGTAAAATTTATTAATTCCTATTAATCTTTAAAAAAATATAAGAATGTATATAGGAGAAATATGAGGTTTGGATAGGGACAATATGCTGTTTTTAGATCTACATTGGAATATTTCGTCCTTTTAGTTAATTTTAATTTTTATGGTCCTCTCTCATAAATATCACTCCTTATTGGTCCTTGTCTCTAATTCTCCCTAATTAATATCATCATCCTCTTCATAATTTAACATAAAAAATACCTAAAAAACGAATCAGAACCTTTATCTCAAACATTTTATAAAATATCTTACTTCATTATATTTTTTAAAAAAAATGAGAAACAAAACTTTTGGCACTCAAATTTAATTTGTCTCTATTATCAATTTGGTCTGTGAATTCCTAAAGTTTCATACACAATTTTACTCCATCTGATAATATCTATAAGATATAAATGAGAGAAAATTTCTTAAAAATATACTTAAATAACTTAAATTTTTATTTAAATCGTTAAATTTGTCAAATTCTCAATTAGGTAATATGACCCAAACAAGGATTTTAAAATTTTGTAAAATGACTATAATGCCCTTTTTATTATAATGTTTCAAAACTTGTTAAACTTTTATTCAAAGACTTATACAAGTATATTATGGAGATAGGAAAGTGTTAATTTAGAATTAAAACGTGTTAACTGCAAAATAAAACATGAAAAGGACACTAGAGTTAGTTCATAAAATTTTAAAATTCTTTTTTGGATCATGTGACCTGATTAAGAACTTGACAAAATTTAATGACTTAAATAAGAATTTGAGTTATTTAAGTATCTTTTTAAAGAATTTTTCCTATAAATCATTAAATTATGTAGATTATATAGTTTTTTAAAATTGGTTAAAGTTAACAATTTTATAAAAATGTGGTTTTTTTTTCCAAAAATAATATCCATCTTTATGGAGAGAAATGGTGATTGAGATAGAAAATGAGTAAAAAAAAAAAATGCGTATGAGAAAGAATAAATGAAGTGATATAATATATAATTATTGGGAGAAATATTAAAAAATTGTTCAAATTTCGGACAATCTGTACGTATTTTATAAATAAAGCAAAGTCACTTTCAACAAGTATGTCTTATAAATAAGAGAGGAGGGTTATCCTCCTTGAGTTAATGTTTAGAGATAGCACATGTGCATTTGATTAGAAATATATCTCTTCAAACCATAAGGACTGATTATGCACTAGTATATGATTATGAAATTTTTGGGACTTGATTTTAAGGACCAAATATATAAGTAAAGCAAAACCGAGGGATTAAACGTTTCATCATCCCAATAAGAAACTATCACAAATGTTTAACTAGAATATGGTCTTACCTCGGCACATCCGTTGGCTAAAAGAGGAAACTAGGGAAAAAGAACGAGATAACAGACAATGAATGATATGATCATAATTTTTAACTAACTTTTCATTGTAACTAATGTTCTTTTACATCTTGTAATTAATTCTTTGTGATTAAAATATCACAGTTTGAAAGGCTTATAAAAATATCAGTCTTAATTAACAATGTATGTCTATGTAATATACTGTGCATATACATGCATGAATGATAGAATAGTTAAAAGAAAGAGGGTGACCTGACAAGTAATTCCCATCCAAATCCAACTCTTGAAGCTGGATGAAGGGGAGAAAAGAAGAAGCATTGAGTGACCAATTGATGTGTCTCAACTCATAAGCTCTTGTATCGCTCAGATAAAGGCTTATGACCCTATGAGTGGAGTTGTCACACTCTACAGCCTCCCAAGTGCAGCAATCTGCAGAGAAGGTTTGGTTATTCCAAGAAGGAAGAGAAGAGCCATTTGGATGATTGAAAGCTTCTTTCAATTTCAGAAGAGCTTCTCTCTCTTCTTGATAGCATCCCTCACTCTGTGCGCTAAACCCAAAGAATATGAACATGATTATGGCCATCACGCACCACACGTCTTCTGATCTCACTGAATGATACCCCATTTTTGAGTATGCTTAATTAGCTTCCCTGTTTGCCTATATGTCTTCCATTACGTCCTCTCTATCCATATATATAGGCCGGAAGGAGACTCAATTATTGCTCTCTAAGTTCCAAAACAGTACACGAGTTGACTCATTTATGGAGAAATGACTCAGACTGAGGATTAAAAAAACACAGCATATGGTGAGTGGCCAGCAACCAATAAAGCTAACAACCATGCAAGACGCGTGACGACCGCGTCACAGTCAAAAAGTTGGGGGGGGGGGGGCTGGTGTAATCTAGCCATTGGCCAGTGAAAAGAATTAAATTATTATGTATTTATAAAAAGATTTTCACACAGACAATAATAAATCACAGACTCAATCAATCCTCTGTTCTGGGTGTGACTAGAAATCTGACATCTGATGAACTATTCAAACAATGTCGGGACGGATCGCAATTATAGCAGAAAAGATATAACAAAACCATGGTATACCGACACAGAATTGGAGTCGTTTAATTACAGAGATTAGAAAGAGATGAAAGATTCGCTACCCCCAAAATACACGATGGGGCTTGACGTAACCTCTCGACGACTTATGATTGATCGTGATAGTTGCTAACAATATTCACCACACAAATGAGCTTTATATAAATATATATATATATATATATATATTCTTATCAAACAAACTATGCTCCATCAAAGAGAGTTTGGAAAGCCAGACTAAATACGGTAGACTGAGATTGTTGTGCAGAAAGTAATCTATACGTCTAAACTCTGAAGTTTATTTCTATACGTTTATCTGTGTTTAGCACTAAAATTGACTCCTAGGCACTCAGTTAGGGCTAATTATTAGGATAAAAACTTATAGAATTACTCTAAACTGAATTTTCCGGTTTGAACTTGATTAGCCAAAGACTCCTATCTACCAAGAATAACACGAACAATAAAACGTTAGAAAAAATATACTACCTCCCGTCCTAATTATAGAATCCATGACACATGGAAACAAATCTGATCAACTAGAAACCTGATATCTGATGGACTATTCAAACAATGTCGGCACAGAGCGCAATTATAGCAGAGAAGATACAACAAAACCGTAGTATAAACAGCAAGAACCTCATGCAAACTGATAATCATTTCTCCTTTGTTGTATCGGCCGTATGGTTAACAAATGACGTAGTTTCTTGTTGAATGGGCCGTGATTATAACAAAAAATACAGATAAAGTTGCTGATGTGATTTCTGCAATATACTACCTTCGGTTCTAAATATAAGAGTTAATTGATGGGGCTCTAATTCACTTTATCTCTTCATTTAATAACTAAAGGAAAATTAAGTTTTGTTTTATAAATGAGCTTTAAGATTGTTGGCAGCTAATTCTACCAATCCTGAAAGTATTCTCTCAGAATGCTCCACTTCGTACCTGACGCAGACTTAAATCGTTTGGTGTGGAATATAAGGAAAGGATGAAGACTCCTTGCCCCAAAGGCCAAAGTATACGAATAGGCCCAACCTCTCGTCACTGTCTGATCTTGACTACTGTTGCTTACACTTGATATACTTATAAGTTATATCACAACTACTCAAAATAACTTGCATAAAACTTCAATATTTTGAACTTTCATGATCTCATTTCGGAGCGAGGAATACTTCATCTGAACAAATGAATGACTTTGTGAGTGCATGATTACTTCATCTAGACATGATTCCTTCAAGAAACTTCTAAAACCGAAAAAAAAAAATCAATATCTTCACTTCAGTCTTCACTGGTCCTTCCAGAATGGCAAGAAAAGGAATATATTTATTACCAAATTTTTCATATTGACCACATTTAATTAATCACAATTCCAAAAACCTGTACTTGTGTCATGATTCTGCCAAATATTAGTGGGACCCAAATAGGACACGTGGCTTATGATCACCCAACAAGTATGGTGCCTTTGCATGATGCTGTTAGCAGTAACCGAATGGAATCTCAACAATATGAAAGCAATGCTATATATGCGGGGGGCGGTTGGGGAGAGGGGTGTGGATGATTTGTGTGAATTCTCTCTCTGGTCCCATTCTTGGGAATTCTCTCTCTGTGGCTCTAGTCTCCCTCCCTTTCCCCTGTTTCTGTCAATTTATTTACAGTACTATTTGAATGTATCCTCATATGCTTATATTTGTAACTGGATTGAATATTAAATACCTGCTGATGATTCCATTGTGTTGAGATATTTTGGATTTAGATCATTACAACTTGCCCCTTCACCATAATTGAGATATGCACTTTTCTGTGTGACGCTGAAATTTCATAGACAAAGCTCATCAAAATCTTGACGTTGATCCAACCTAATTCTATAAATTTGAATATCAGTGAAACTGAAGATGTTAAAACAAATAAGCAAATATTGCTGTTATGAGAAAAAGGAATCATGCAGCTGGCTGTGGCTTTATTCGTAGGGATCCACCAAATCAATGCGATAATGTTTTGATTGACCATCTCTTTGTGGATGTGATTTTGCAAGGATTGTTTAAAAGAAGAAAAAGACAGAGAGAACGAAAGAAAAGAAACGAAGAAATTTTAAAGCAGTTAAGTTTTCTGGGTAAGGCCGACCCATAATCTTAGTGCTGATATTATCAACACTGCTAAAACTGGATAGATGGAAATTGTCCACTTAAAAGTGATTAAAAGAAATTGTACCCGCATTCAAAGACGGGTATATAAAATACGAGCTGGATGGTACTTGTTGCTGAATCTTCGAAGATTTGCATTATCAGTTACAGTCTGTTGTGTGTTAGGTGCTAAAATTGGGTTTGATTCGATTGCACTGTAGAGACATGCTTAAACGTATGAATCAACTTCAACATGCTTTTATGATTAAGGCGTTATAAGTAAATCTGGAAAGCAGTGTTCATAAATAAATATTGATGATAGGAACAGAGATGCAGAGACGAAATAGATATATGATATTGAAGGATTTTGAGAAGGAGATTGCCAAGTTATACGCACACGACACATAAATATGGGTTGGCTTCAGCAGCGGCTAAGGTAGCTTAATGGAAGGTTCGAATAATATTGTGAAATTTTGGTTTAAAAAAAAGAAGAATAATATTGTGAAAGCGTGTGAAGAAAGGTGAATTTGAATAGCCTTTATAAGGCTTCTTCATACTCTGTTTCTCTGTTTATATACCCAAAGGACACAACAAAAGCACATTAATAAAAACTTGTCATTGTAAGTGTGCGTGCAAATGTACTTTCATGCTAACATTTGCTGTTTTATTTACTGAGTTAGTTTATTCGACTATTTGTCACATAGTTAACAACTATACAAGGCTGCGTTAGAAGTCCAATCGTTGAACTAAACGACCACGTGGAGACAGACAAAGTAATAATGATTCGAATATTTCAATTTAGTTTCCTTCTTGATCACGAGAAGACCTAAAACTAGCAATCCCTTGGTTATTGTAATTCTACAGATGATCACCAGGCCATCTCTTACATGATCAGAATCCTATGAACTAAAATTAAAATGTTTTCCTATTTTGCCACCACTCATACAAATAACTTGTTACAGCTCGCTCTAGTATGAGTAGTCTGTAATTGCAAATGTAAGGGTTCAAATAAAGAACTATAATGATACCTATAAAAAAGACCCCAAATGCTCCAGCAAAACTCCATAAGAAGGCATCTCGAAAGTCATCCCCTTCCAAATGATCATGAGGTTGCTTGTTTCTTCCAGCTTTTAAGCAATTTTGCTGCAGAGGCGGACCACATAGAAAAGGGTTCCCTTCATAACTGGTTGAATCAAAAGTTGCAAATTGATTTTTCATATCAGGTGTCATTCCCGATAGATTGTTATGAGCCACCGAGAAGACGGACAAGGAGTACAACTGAATTAGTTCTTTAGGAATGTGACCTGTCAATATGTTGCTTGAAAGATCAAGGCTCTCTATCTGCTTGAGGTGGGAAAATGTTTCTGGAATGGGCCCTTTCAATCGATTGTTTGACAAATTTAATGCATGGATACTGCCTAGGTATCCAATTTGTGAAGGAATCTCACCTATCAATTGATTACTTGAGAGATCCATCCCAGACATGAAATTTAAAATGCTTCCTTTGTAAGATTCATACCTGCTTTTTGTTGTAAAATCTACTTCTTGGTCTTTATACAGTGTAAAATTTTCTTTCTCTTTTGGTATGGAAACTTCACCGGTCAGAGAGTTAAATTGAAAATTTGAAAATCTTGTAGTCCATGACACAGTAAAATGTCCTATTTCCTTTTCCCTTGGTGCATCTATCTTTCCAAATGTGATGTTATTCAAGCAATATGGGATGCCTCCAGAAAGCTTATTTTGAGAAAGATCTAATAACCTGATGTTCTTGAGCTCGCATAAACGGGTAGGAATAGAGCCTTCAAGTTTGTTTCCTTTTAACATGAGGACCCTTAAACTCAAAAATGAGCCATTCAATCTTGAAAGTTGACCGGAAAAATTGTTATTCATCAAATTTAAAGTCAACAATAAAGGGAAATTGGCTATAGTGGAAGGTAGAAGTCCCATGAAATGGTTGCTCTCCAAATGCAAGTACTTCAACTTTGAAAAATTTAGACAAATTGGCAAAGAGCCATTGAATTTATTTTTAGAAAGGTCTAGACATGTAAGTTCGGTCAAGTTGCAAAAGCTTTCTGGTAGTGAACCTGTTAAAGAATTCTTTGACAAAATGAGGTAACTCAAATGTTGAAGGTTTCCAATCCAGCTAGGTAATTCACCAGATAGTTGGTTGGCACTAATATCCAACATTCTTAATTCAGTACTATTCATGACCGCACCTTCAAGCTTTCCTTTGAAGTTATTGTTGTTGAGATCTAATAACAACAAAGATGTGAAATTTGATCCTATGGGAAGACATGGGCCGCTGAGGTGGTTGTTTGACAACTTCAAAAACCTCAATTCATTGTTACCTTGACCAAATTCTTGGGGCAAGTAACCAGATAAATTATTATCTGACAAGTCGAGATCATTCAGTTGTCTCATTTCACCTATTGAAGCTGGGAAGCAACCTCGCAATGAAGTTGAAGACATGTTAAGAGAGATCAAGTTGGGAAAAATGAAGCCAACATGAGAAGGGATTTCATCTCTAATGGGGTTTGATGAAATATCAAAAGACTCCATTTGAAGCAGTTTTGAGGTGGAATTGAATTCAAAAGGACCAGTGAACAAGCTGCGGCTCAGATTGAAATAAGTCAATTTTGTGTTGTTTGCCAAAAGCCAGGACGGGAAGGCCCCTGAAATGTTTGTGTTGGTAAGTTCTAGATGTAGCAAGTCATATTGATGAAGAAGAAAGGTAGGCATTCTTTTAGCATTGGCTTCATTCAGAGTACAGTTGCGGATTTTGAAAGACCTCAATTGGAAGGAAGGGATAAATGGGGGATTCTCTGTTTCAAGCCTCAGGTTGGTGTTAGAGCATATAATGGAAAAGACTTTGAGGTTGGAGTTGTTGGCAAGTGAAGAGAGTGAAAATAAGCCGTTGAAATTGTCATCAGTAAGCAAAAGAGCTGTTAGAGACCTCAAAGAATGAAAGAGTGAGGAAGGAAAAGTTCCTTCAAAACGATTTCGTGAAAGATAAAGCGTATTTAAGGATGTCAAATTGCCAAGACATGGAGGGAGTTGCCCCTCCAATTCATTGTCGCTAAGATCCAATAATGAAAGATTCTTCAAATTGCACAGGCCTCCTGCAACATACACCATTTTTCTTCATTAAACTTATTTCATCAGAACAATGTATTTAAATTAATATTGGGCCCAGGAAAAAAGCCTCAACATTGAGCCCAAAAATATGAGTAAAAATAAATTATTAAGCCATTTCCTTTTATTAGTTTTAGCTTGTCCATGTGTCTAAATACGGCTCTATCTTCTTGTTGTTATTGTTTTGTCAACTGTTATTTGTTTTGACTACGTTATTTCAAACTACTGCCGCATGCCAGTTAGGAGATAGATTGGAAATCGGTTTGACAGAATAGTCAACTCAATTTGCACGAACAAGGAAAATTTGAGTGTTTGATTAAAATAAAAATTTTTATCAGCAAATTTGATGTTTATTGGCAAATACTCAATTAATGGATTATGTTCTTTCCATCGGAGATGCTATAAAATATGATGCGTACCTTGTTGTGGCAATGATCCATTGAGGTTGTTATTGCTTAACGTCAATACGGTGAGGGAAGTAAGAGACGTAATAGATTCTGGAATGCTGCCCTCCAAGTAATTAGCACCAAGCCACAGCGCCTCCAGATTACGTGAATGAGAAAGGTCTGTCAAATGCCAAATGGACATGTGTGCGTTAAGCCACAGCCCCTTCAAATTAATTAGTGTGTATATACATGTGTGTGTTTGTTAAAATTTATTGATAATGAATCTGCTAAGTAAGAAAACGTCATCTTATCTCTTACTTTTGACATTTCATTCAATTCTCTCAATTAAATAAAGGCACATAAATTGTTCGGTTGAGATGATTATGCGGCAAAGGTGAATAATTTGACTTCCCAACAAAATCAAGATAAAAAGAAATAGAAACTTTCATATATTTAATGGAGAAAACCTTGTCTATATAATCCTTTTAGCATTTTTCTTAAAATGATGGCCCGGTAATCTTTTTTCTAAAAAAAGATATACTTTTGATACACGTTTCAGTAACTACATATGTCATTCAAAATATAGGATAATATAGAAGACAAAGATTTAGCACCGAAATATGGGAATTCTATGAGCATATTGTATTGTAAGTTCAACACTTCCAAGTTCACGAGCCTGATATCGCCAAGCAGCCCTGTCCCACAAACAACATGTGATCGGTTACTATGAATGTTAGTAGGTATAAAGAATTATAAAAAATAATTCATACAGTTAATATCATCATCCTCTTCATAATTTAACATGAAGTGAAAGTTTGATAATGTAGTGTTTATTAAGCTTGTTTTGGGCCCCTCTATATATCCAAGAAAACATCTTGCCTAGTAATTTATTTTTAAAAAAATATTTACAACATGAATCAAAACGTTTAGTATCTCAAACATTTTCTAAAATATCTTACTTGATTATATTTTTTAAAAAAAATGACTAATAAACTTTTGGTACTCAAATTTAATTTGTCTCCGTTATCAATTTGGTCTGTGAGGTTTAATTTTTATCAATCAAGTTCCTAAAGTTTCATACGCAATTTTATTCCCTCTGATGCTATCTATAAGATATAATTGATTAAATTATGTAGATTATATAGTTTGTTGAAATAACTGAAAGGTAATAAATACGTAGAAATATTTTTTTTCCAAAAATAATAAAAATGGTAAATGAGAGAGAAATTGAGTAAGAAAAAGATGAGAATGAGAGAGAATAAATGAAGTGATATAACATTATAATTATTGGGAGAAAATATAAAAAAATTGGTTCAAATTTCATAAATAAAGCAAAGTGGGGTTTATCATCCTTGAATTAATGGTTAGCGGTAGCAAATGTGCGTTTAGGATTATATATCTTCAAACCATAATGACTAATTTTGTATGATTACGAAACTTTAGGGACTTGATTTATAACAATTAATTAAATTTCATGGACCAAATCAATAAGTGAAGCAAATTTGAGGGACGGAAAGTTTCATTGTTCCAATCAGAAATCATCCACACATATTCAGCTAGAACTAGAATGGACTCTTACGCCGGCAAATCAGTAGGCTAAAAGAGGAAACCAACAAAAAAGAACGAGATAAAAGGCAATGAATGATATGATCATAATCATTATTAACTATTTTTTTACCGTAACTGATGTGCTTTTACATCTTCAAAAATCACAGGTCGAAATACTTATAAAAATGTCGGTCTTAATTAAAAATGTATGTTTATGTACTGTGTGTGTATGTATATGTATGCATGAATGATAGAATAGTTAAAAGAAAGAGGGTGACCTGACAAGTAATTCCCACGCAAACGCAACACTTGAAGCTGGATGAAGGGGAGAAAAGAAGAAGCATTGAGTGACCATTTGATGTGTCCCAACTCTTCAGCTCTTTTGTCACTCAAATCAATTACTATCACTCTGTGAGTAGAGTTGTCACACTGTACAGACTCCCAAGTGCAGCAATCAGAGAAGGTTTGGTTATTCCAAGAAGGAAGAGAAGAGCCATTTGGGTAATTGAAAGCTTCTTTCAATTTCAGAAGAGCTTCTCTCTCTTCTTTCAAGCACCCCTCAGCTTCTCCATTAAACCCTAATAATATGAATATGATTATGGCCATCACCCACCGCACCTCTTCTCTCACTGAATACCCCATTTTTCTCAATGCATGTCTTCAACTGCGTGTTGTTCATCTATATATAGAGGCCCTATCTTTGCCTGGAAGACTCAGATGGGGCAGAGGCAAAAAATAAAGCTCCACTTCATATCTGACATATTCATCTAGTCCGAAAATTTTTTTTTGGGAGGGGAGATTAAGATTCCTTCGCCGAAAGACAGGATTATATTGACTTGACCTCTCAATTCATGGTCTTGACAATTAATTGCTAACAATGTGTATTGCACAAATTGTTCTATTCTTATCACTATTTATTCAAAATCAGTGCGAGTGGCCATTTCTGTACAACGTATTAACGGGAATCTTAAACGCCAGATTGTCAGGTAGACAAGGTTGACGGTGCCACGAAGCACGAAGTAAATTATACATATATACATCGAAAGCTTTATTATGCACCATGCGACTATTTACAGTCATGAATTTCTATGATACATTAGTTAGGATATGCATTTGGGCATAAATTTAGAAGATTATGACTTAATTTGTCTCCTCCAAGTGTATATTTATATATTAGGCCTTTAATATATGGTGATTTGGGCTCTCAATGCATATTGTAGACTCTTGAAGATAAATCTCTTCATTTAGGTATTCCTCACCTTAGATGATTTGGCTTTGGGTTCACTTGTTAAATGTAATGTTGAATGTCACATGCATGTTGCCATGAAAGGCTTGATCAACATGTAGGACGCCAACTTGGACGCACCACCTGGGATGTAACTTTATCCGCTTAGGACACCTTATAAAATCACGTCACATCTTATTTTAGCCACTTCAACATCTTCCTACGTTGATCAACTGATAGTGTTCTCTAAAAATTTGGTGAGAGACTAATAAGAACCAACTTGGTAATTTAAAATTGGAAATTTCGAAGAGTATCTTGCAATAATTTCATTTGTATTCTTATCATGACTAATAAAAGTAAGTGCGTGTGCCTCAACATTCTGCAAAATATACCCTACAACGCGCATCACATTGGGCCGTCATTGACCAACTGCCATCCCACATCTCACGTCTTGGATGGCTAGATATCTGTACGCATTCACACTAATTTCAAATCAAACCTACCAGCAAGAATGACATTTATCATAAAGTTATAAGGAGTCAAGTTCTGAGAGGAATTTAACGTATAGTTTCCTTGTTGAATCCGGGTCGTGATTATGACAAGTTATGAAGTTGCTGATGAGCAGAGAGGATGTGAATGACATATAAATCTCATTCGTGTCATCTCTTCGATCAAAGAAAACTACAGTTTTGTTTCACAAGTGAGGTTCTTCAACGTTGTTAACACACACACACACACACACCCCTATATGCTTCCTGCATGCGTGATTCTGTGATATCTCTTTGTAAAATTTGAGATATATCTTCACACAAAGTCTAAATATGCAGTTTCATTTGCAATTAAGTATTGTTTTGGTTGATTTATGTAGGCCTTTGTCTCAAGTTTCCATGGATCAACCCGATCCAAGAAGTATTCTCTCAAGTGCTCCCCTTCATAACTGACACAAATTTAGAGTCGTTAGTCAGAAAGATTAGAAAAAGATGAAAGATTCCTTGCCCCCAAAATACACGATGGGGCTTGACGTGACCTCTCGACGACTTATGATTGATCCTCACAGTTGTTAACAATGTTCACCACACAAATAAGCTTTATATCTATGTGTGTGTGTATTCTTATCAAACAAACTTTGCCCCATCAAAGGGAGTTTGGAAAGCCAGACTGTATATGGTAGACTGAGATTTTTGCGCAGAAAGTAAACTATACGTCTAAACTCTGAAGTTTATTTCTTTACGTTTATCTGTGTTTAGCACTAAAATTGACTCCTAGGCACTCAGTTAGGGCTAATTATTAGGATAAAAACTTATAGAATTAATCTAAACTGGATTTTCCGGTTTGAACTTGATTAGCCAAAGACTGGTAATTATAGAAAAATATACTACTTACAGTCCTAATTATAAGACTTTATTTGTAGTCTACAAATGAGATCTTATAATGAGAACCAAAGTAGTAATAGGTGAGTTGGTTTGCCAAATAAAAAATTATTTCCACTAATCTCTGCTTGTTTTTGGGTCGTGTTCATTGGTTTTAGACTCTGTTTATTCTTGATCTTACATTTTAATCATGCACATTTGTTTTTAAAGATTTATAGTATTTTCCTAAGAGCAGTGTTTCTTTTTGTTTTGTTTTGTTTTGTTTTTTGTTTTTTGTTTTGTTTTTTTGCGCCTGCCTAAGATTCCTCAGTGTGAGTCTGAGATATGGCATGCTTATGCACATAAAACACTTCTATATATTTTAATGAATTTTTATGTTAATTGTCGTGTTTTATATATAAAGTTTAATTAGGCTATAGCAAAAATTACGTACGTTCTATAATATTACAATTTAAGTGTGTTTCAACAAGAATCAAATCTTTTAATTACTATGGCCGAGTTGCTGTAAATCTTAATCTTGATTATTTTATATAATTCCAAAATGTAACATCATGCTATATATATAATTAACTAAAATCAGATTCTGCTTGCCTAAATAAATTTAAAGCCTAACCTTTTACTACTATACCTGTTGATTATTGATGCGTATAATAAGAGTCTCCTGTTCAGCTTGTCTCTCCCAGAGTAGACATTTATAGGAGTAGATTATAAATGAAAATTGATCAGATTATAATTTGGGGAAAATCAAAAAGATTTTTTGTCTCTTAACATCTTAATTAACTACCATACAATAGTACACGGAAAGTAAAATGAAAGGGAAAAAAGTATCATTGTTTCACATAAACTGATAACAGTAATGAAATCTTGATAATCAACATCCACAGCAAAATTCAACTGAGAGAAACGTAACATTTTGCCAAATTGAAAAAAAACACAGCACTTGCTTTGTGGCAAACAACCAATAAAGCTAACAACCATGCAAGACTTGAAAAGTAAGTCACAACCAACAAAGCTAACAACCAAGACTTGAAAACCAAGCCACAGTCTAACCCCGGTTTTGGGGGGGGGGTGTTAATATAGTCAATGGCCAGAGATCCCACAGACTTATAAAATAATAAAATTAAAATGTATTTTTATAAAAAGAATTTCATTAAATATAAATCACAGACTTATCAGTCTGCTATTTTGGGTGTGATTAGAATCTATGACACATAGAAACAGATCTGATCTATGATGGATTGTTCAAACAACGTTGGGACACAGCGCAATTTTAGCAGAAAATATCTAACAAAACCATAGTATACACTGCAAGAACCTCTTGCAGATAATAATCATTTTTCCTATATATATTGTAACGGCCATATGGTTATGACAAATGATGTAGTTTCTCGCTGAATGGGTCGTGATTATAACAAAACATAGAGATAAATTAAAGTTGCTGATGTCATTTCCGCAACATAATTTAAGAAAACTTGAGTTTTGTTTTATAAATGAGCTTTAAGGTTTAATATATATGTTGGGTTTAATTAGCACGTAATATGAGAATTATAACTGTGAATGTGGAAAAAATGCAGAATTTGAAATGATAGCCAAAGATACAGACAAGACGAGAGAGGGATCAAAACCACAGTCCCACGGAAACTCTTTCCACTTTGATAATTGATGATGTCAGTTTCGACATCTCTGTGCGAAACTTGGCTCAAAATCTTTCCACAAAACTGACAATCTTTTGGTTATTGTGATCGTCTGTTACATGATCAAAATTTTATGAACTACTAAAAGGCTATTCTTTTTTGCCTCCACCCATGAAATAACTTGTCACCGCTCTCTCTAATATGACTAGTTTGTAATTGAAAATGTAAGGTTTCAAATAAAGAACGATAATGACACCTAGAAAAAAGACCCCACATGCTCCTGCAAAAGTTCATAAGAAGGCGTCTCAAAAATCATCTGCTTCGAAATGATGAGTTTGCTTGATTCTCCCTCCTTTTGATTTACTATTCTCGAGTCGCTGTAAATCTTAAACCTTGATTATTTTATATAAATTCTGAAATGTAACATCATGCTAGATATATAATTAACTAAAATCAGATTCTGCTTGCCTAAATAAATTTGAAGCTCAACCTTTTATTACTATCCCTATTGATTATTGATGCATATATAATAAGGATGCCCTGCTCATCAGCTTGTCTCTCTCAAAGAGTAGACATTTACAAGGGCAGATTATAAATCAAAATTGATTAGATCATTTATTTTTCTTTTAATATCTTAATTAACTCCCATACAAAGTACACAGGAACTAAAATGAAAGGGAAAAAGTATCATTATTTCACATAAAGAAATAATAATAATGAACTCTCAATAATCAATATCCACAGCTAAATTCCAGGGCCTAGCAGCAATATAACGCAGCAACACTGCACAGCAAAACAACGTAGTCAAACAAAACATACCAATTAATTAGTTGACCTTTTATATATATAATCTACAATCTAATGGGAAAAAAAAATAGTATTACCTCCTGTCCTAATTATAAGAGCCAGTTGACTAATTTGAGGAGATTAAGGAAGTAAGTTGAGTTAGTTATTTATCCTAAATAGGTGTTGTTTTTCCTAAAATATCCTTACTAATCAAGTGTATTGACTAGAACTATCATTGTTAGAAGGGCTACTTTGGAAAAAAAATATATAAATATGAGAGACAAAGTGGATTGGGGTCTTATATTTAAGACCAAAATAAAGGTCAAACAGGGTCTTATATTAAGGATCGGGGGTAGTATATGCAATAAATTACAAATTAAGTTGGATTAATTGTGTTCTGTGTGGGAAAAGATGTGAGATGAGAAAGTGATGAGAGAGGAACCCACCATCCTTTCCAGAAGCCTTCGCCCTTACATTTGGTGTCAGCTGGGATCTGTGATGAATCTTGAACAGCTCGCACGGTGGTGGGATATCCAGGTGGCGGTGTTTGGTGGTGGTGATAAGCCTGACCCGGTGGAGGATAAGCCATCACTGGTGTTGATAGCTGATAAGCCTCTGCATGTGCATAA